GAAGAAAGGAATTTTGGAGCGTTTCGTAAGGCTTTTGGCTGGAAAGCCTTACAGTGAGATTGCGATTCCATTCAAAAAATTCCAGGAAAAAGATTTGCACCTTCTTGTCATGCTTGAGGCCTCTGGCACGCACTGAAGAGACGCCAAGTTACCAAAGCCATGGCCACCGCTGCCGACATCTCAAATCCCACGACTTTGGAAAAATCCCACTTAAGTCCTCGATGCAAGTAGCTGAAAGGATAGAGACGAACGAAACTTTTAAGCTCTTTATCACCAGCAACTACGGAAGAACTTTAAATGAAGAGAGGAACCTGCTGATCGACGGCATAGCTGCGAGGATTCCAGCACTTGTGTAGATGATTGGAACTAATGCCGACGGCTTGGATTTTCGAAGCCACATTAGCGATCCCAGAGCGGCCAAAGACACTGTAAGAACCTGGAAACACAGAAGAAACAATTCGTGAACTCGAACAAAAGATGACACAGCAAAAACTAAAGTCGAGAAAAACTTCGAGACAGCAAAAGGGTGCTTACCAGGTTCACGTTTGCTTCAATTCCTTGCAGAAGATAGTCCCAGGTGAATTCGTGGCCTTTTGCTCCCACCCACAGCGGTGCGAGCCTGTGCAGCAGTGAATCCGCAAATGCCCATCCTGTGAAGATCTAAAAACTTTAAAACGCTGCTCTTGAGCTCTAAGGCTGCGCTGCGCTCGAAAGGAAAAATAAAGGAAGAAAAACATACCAAGTCCAATGGCTTGGAACTTGTGATTCTGAGAGATGTTCCGGTACGTGAGCTGAGTGAGCGCGAAATACATGCCGGCTACATCCAGAAAACCGATAAGCGCCTTCAACATCTCCTGGAAAGAAAACAAAAAACGTTAGAAGTTGGCCTTTTTTTTTCTTCTTTTCTCTCCTCGCTCGCTTTGAATGTCTTCACTCACTTGGGATGGATGGAAATCATCGTTATCCGATGCCTGTAAAAACGTTGCGAAAAGCACAAGCTGCATAGCAAAACCAGAGATTTTTGGTCGAAAACACACCAAAACAATGGAGATTCTCGAAAACACACCAAAACAATGTAGATTCTATGCACGAGAACGCTTACCTTGATCAATGTAGTCCCCAGATACACAAGCGCGGCCTTAACACACGTCCCAACAGTGTCATACTCAGATCTAAGGCAATCATAGCGTCAATCTGAGACAATTCGGATCGGCAGATCAGATTGATACTCACAGTGGCGTCGCCTTGTAGTAGACAGCGTGCGGGCCAAACGTGAGCGCGGCGCAATTGAAGAAGTGGAAGAGCGTCATTGCTCCAGCTCCAAAACCCTAAACCTAAAGGGTTCTCTAACAAATCAGTTTAACCCTTTGTTTATAATCAAAAGGTAACAGTAAACACTTTTATTATTGTCTGGGCAATCCAAAGAAATTTCATGGGAACTCTCTGTTTCTCAGGACAAATCGCCCGATCATCGTCCAAACTGCAACCCAGTCATGTGAATTTTATTTTATTTTCACCAAGATCTCATCTTTTGAGCTTACTGTAAATCGCTGCTGCTGCCCATTCGTTTGCGATCTTCACCCACACGCTGGCCCAGCCAACATCGATGCTGTATCTGATCAAGGAAACACAAAGACTAGAAAAGAAGAATCCCAGAGCTTGTGCTCTTACTTGTGCATTGTTTGATGGAGGTTCCAGCCGATGAAAAGCATGGCGAAGTACATGGAGCCGAGAGCAAAGACGAGGTGGAAGAAGCCATAGCCGTAAGGCACTTCGTCGTCAAGCTCGAAACTTTTCTTGGGCAGCTGATACAAGAAGAAGAATCAAACAAGAGAAGATTGTGAGAGACAACGACTTACACAAAATGTTTGTGAGTCTGTTCCGGTGGAATACGCAGCCATCACAATTGCCGCTAAGGCAATCACGAAACTCTGAAACTTCCCCACTATGGAATTAAACATTCAGTGAGTGTCAATGCTTACCAACAGAGTTAACCAGTCGCTCTTCCCGGTTTGTCTCGGTCTTGTGTTGCATGCCTCGGACAATGGCTCACTGCAAAAATTGAAGCTTGTGAGGTTTTACCCAAGAAAAAAGAGATTTTTGTACCTCATTATGGCTGACCAGCAGAGAAAGCACAGATAAACCGACATTAACCCCGAGGTCATCAGTCCAGCATTCACCTAGAAGGAAAAAACGATGAAGAAAAACTCCATTTGTATGTGCAATACTTGCCTTGGAGTGGAGAGAAATAGCGGTCATGACATTGATGAGAATGGCCGTCCAGGAAGTGAAAAAGATGTTGAGCGTGCAAGATATATGTGGAGCAAACCACAGGCTCATGTACGTTGTGGCAACGATCGAGGCTCCAAAGCTGACAAAAGCAACCACAAGCATGGGAGCCTTGCTACACAAAAACAAGAAGGTAAAGAAGATATATCAAAAGGAAAGTAGCACAAGATATATCAATGTTAACTTACACACCATCTCTCCTCGGAGAACCACTGTTCGTTCCACCAGTATATGAAATTGATAACGCTCAGAAGCTGGATAAGAAGGAAAATCCTACAAGGAAAACACTTGTTACGTTTTCTTGCAAGAAAAAAGAAAGTTTTACCCAGCTCCATAGCGTGCCACTTCACCTGTTAAGCAAAAGAGAGTGGAAGATCTCACGGTGAGCGTTTGTATCGTAGAGCTTGTGTAACTTACCATAGATGTGGATAAACGACGGAGGAACAAGGAAGGGTAGCACCATGAGAATCACCCACATAACGCCTTTGGCAGGCCACCATCTGTTGTGCCAAACATCTCGCGCTCCATACAGACGCGTTGTTCCAACGGTTGTCACAAACATGGCGAGGAAGAACACCTTCAAGTTCCAAGTTGTCTGCGTCAAGGAAAGACACTCGAAGAAAGAAAAACTCGCCGGGAACCAGAGGAGCTAAAACCTTGATAGCAACTTTGGAAAGAAATATGAAGTACTGGCTTGAAACTTTGAGTGGAGAAGAGTCGTGACAAAGAAGATAACCTTACACTGACAGATTGAGGGATAGAACTTCAGATGCAGGATCATACAAGTTCAGCTTAGGAACTCTGGAAAAACAAACTCAACAATGAATGAAAGTTTTCTCCAAAGGATACAAAGCAGCCAAAACTGATGCGAAGAACACCTTCCGATCCAAGACAGTTGTGGCCTCCAAGGCAACCCTCCAAATCTGATACACACATCTTCAAACCAATAAAAGCTTGGGATAAAAAATGGAAGAATAAAGAGAAACGAAACTTACAATGAAGCTCGGAGAGAGCCCTGTGGCTGTAGTCTCGCACCACCCAGGCGATGAGAGTGGTGAGCATGAAAATAATCCCATAGATATAGCGGGCAGCGCTTCCATGGGCAATGGAACACGACAATGGCTTGATGCTTTCTAGCGAGGCGTGATCGCGGGAGCTCTCCAGATCCATTTTTTTTCTCTTCGAAGTGTTCTTGAGCAAAACACACACACACACACGCAACACTGGGAATGATTAAGAATCTATTTGAGGAAGTGGCTACCGAGCGATCCCCATCGAGCTCTACGAGAAAGTGCGCGTATTTTCCACCCAAAAAAAGTGCGAGTCCATTTTCGAGCTACATAGCAAGAACAGAAACCCTAAAACAGAACAGTCCGCATGTGAAAGTTGTGTAGGAAAACTTTAAAAAAGTCATTTAAAATCACAGCAACTGGTAAGGATTGTATTCAGAAGTATGCAGCAAAACTCCTCCCTTGGCACCCTCCCAACTGCTTCTTCACCACAATCTTTGTCACCTGTGCAAGGGCTTGCATCATACGATTCACCATCTACTGTAAATTGTTCACAAGGAAGGTTTTGTAGATGTGTTGATTCAAATAATCGTTTGTACTAATTCAGTTTTTCAGATTATATGACTTTTAAATAATTTAAAGTATAATAACAATTGTTATTACTTTATGAAACACTTTTTAAACTTTTTTTTTAAAAAATCATATGTATGTTACAATGAAAAAAAAAACTCATTAATTTGTCACCTACATAAGATTTTAGAATTCCATG